CCCAGCTTCTCTCTGGATACTTGGCCGTTTCTGGCCTTGACTCTGACCTCGAGGTCTAAGATGTGGGTAGCCACGTTCCAGGCAGTAGATCAGAGGCAGGGAAGAGGATGAGGGGGCAGAAGTCACCCACTCGTGTCTCGGTGGAGGGTGGGGTCGCTGGGGGCTGCTTCCCAGCACCTCCACCTGTACCGCCTGGCCTGGAATTAGTGTTACGGTCACACTCAACTTCAGGGGAGATACAGCCTTTGTTCTGGAAGGCCGTGGGCCTAGCTTAAAAATAAAGAAAAGGACAGTGGCTGTCAGGGGACAGCTAGCCATCTGTCACCAGGGCCACGGGATTTGACCCTGGCCCTTCCAGCCCTTTCTCAAACACCGAGCATCTGCAGCCACTTACTGGACATTTGGTACACACTTGGGGCACCAATTCTAGATAAAGTTAAAAAAAAGCATTCATCACAATTCAAAAATAAAGCTGAAACAAAATATTTAAAAGTCAATAATAGTCATGGTGTCGTGTCAGGGTTGGCACTCCTCTTTGCCATCTTTCACCGACAGCATCATTTCTGGGGCCGCATTGGGCCCAGAAGCTGGTCAGCTTCCCTGGTGGTTTCTTTTCTTCCGCTTCACTTTCACTAGGTTAGAAAAGCTTAAGTTACGGTTAGGGAGCAGCACGTGACTGATGGCCCTGTCTGGTGGTCCTGGACGTTGCTGCCACAGACGGACGGAGATGCTGGGCGATTTCTCACTGGAAGCCCCTTCCAGTGCTCCGTCAGAGCTGAGTCCGCTCGGGAGTGCGGCGGCTGAGTGTTTCATCTTAGGGCTGCCTCATAGATTCCTTCCACCCTTTGATTCAGTTCTAGTCTTAAAAAAACCACGTCTTTATGTTCTGTTGCAGCCCTTGGATGTGGTTTATAACCACGTGCTTAAATGTCCCGTTTGTCTCTGATGAGAGGAGAAAGCCACCAGGTAGAGCATAGGCGATCTGGATTTGAATACTTTTTCTTCTATTACACTATCTGTGTAGCTTAGGACAAACTTTAAATACTCCCTGCCTTGATTTCCTCAACTGTGCCGCGGAGATGGTGCTAGTCCCCGCCTCCCAGCGTGGCTGTGAATGTCCTGGGAACCAAAGCGCGCGACCGCCTCGCCCCATCCTGGTATGCGGCATGCGCTCCGTGAAGATGCGTCTTGGTGATTCTTATTATTTTCAGGTATTTGTCAACTCGAGGCCATCCAAGACTTTCTGCCACATTTTCAGTCTTTCTGCGGAATCTCGGTTTCTCCTCCCTTGTAAGTCAGCACCTTTCATCCCTGATGCAGACGTCCGGACGCCTGAATTATTGGATCGACGGTGGAGTGCCATTCGAAACCGTGGAAAGGGGCCTCACTTCACATTCTGAACGTCACGAAATATCTTTTTATCTTACTCGTCGTTTCGAAGACCTCCGTGAGCCCCACCATAGAGAGCGCCCTTCAGTGGGGGAAGCGGTCTTCTCCCACCTGTGTCTCTGCCTGGCACCCGGGGCAGGCGGCGGGTCAGAGGCTGCGCCTGGCTGTGGTCACTGTCATCTGCAGCGCTCACCCAAGACCGGAGGGTGGGTCGTCAAACACCAGCTGGTCTTTGTGAGTGACTTTCTAGAGGGATGACCTCTCTTCTGGGAGCAGTGCCCCCTTGGGTGCACGCAGAGTCGGTGCCATCTCAGTCCGCGGGCCCTGCTGCACAAAATGCACGGGGGCCCAGCAGCACCTCCTTCCTCCGGGAGCGCGGGTCTTCAGGGGGCGGAGGGGCGAGGCGCTGCGAGCCTGACTCCAGAGCGCCCTCGCCAGGGCCCCGCTCCCACGCCGCCCGCAGCGGCTTCGCCCAGCGTCAGCGGCGCCCAGGTGCGCGGGCTCCTGCTTCCCGAGGGTCGTTCGATGAGGAATTTTGCTCTCGGCTTGTTCCGCCTTCTTTGTGCCTGTAGTTCATGTTGCAGGTGGCTTTAGAAGCTTCACAGCAACAATGGGGCTTTCCCCCGTTTTTCCCGCTTGTTTTGTTCTTTCCTTCTTCAGTGACAAAAACTAATGGATCTTAGGAAGTGGTTTTCTTTTCCTTTGTGTGCTTGTTCGGAAAAAAAAAATTGAGGTTTTATTTGCAGGTGATCAATATTTAATCTGTTTAATCTGTTTTAATCTGATCAGTTTTTATAGCAGACGTGGCACCCGGGGCCAGATGAGTTGATAAGACCTGGTTTTCAAATACTCGTCACTGCGTTTTCCCGTCCTGACTTTCCATTTTTGGGTGAAGTCGGTGCACTCACAGAATGACTTGCCCCGGGACATGGAGTCACAGCCGTATTCACACGGAGCCCTGCCCGCGATTTATGTTTCTGAGATTATATTGAGTTGTACGAGTTACATTGTTATTTGTATCATTACTTTTCGGCTCAAATGAACCCCTTTTGTGATTTGGGCAACGACACAGCAAAACAGGAGAACAAACCAATAGTCATGCAAACTTAACCATGAAAACGTGTGCGTGGAGACAGGCTGCGGACTTTTCACTGAATCTGGCAGCGGTGGTCCACCTGCCTTGGGTGCTGTCTATAGAACAGAGGACGAGGACGTACTGTGTAGCACAGGGACTCACATCCATGATCTTATAATAACCTGTGATGGAGTAGAATCTGCAAAAATACTGAATCACTCTGCTGTACACCTGAAACTAACACAATATTGTAAGTCAACTGTACTTCAGTTAGAAAAAAGAGTTCATGGGATTTCTGTGAAGGTTCTAATTGCTTACATTTCGAGTCTGTGAAGACAATTGTTTTAAATCTTTTCCTCTGAAGCCACCAAACCTCCAGGGACCACGCTTTGGGACTCCTTCCCCTCCTTTGATGAGAGCATTTCTGGACCAGACGTGGTGAATGGGTCTAGGTGGGAGGAGACTGGCCTCTAGTGAATTTTAAGGAGTACAGAACCCAGACACTGGAGAAATAACAGGTCTGGGCTTCTAGCTTGGGGACAGGTGGGGAACCAGGAGTTTAAGCTATGACCTTATAAATGTTTCTGTTTCTTCTTCTTTGTCCCTTACAGAGCAAAAGCCAGGGCTCTGTCTTTGTCCGGATCCACGCCCCGTGGCAGGTGCTGGCCAGAGAGGCAGAATTCTTGAAGATCAAAGTTCCCACCAAGAAAGTATGAGCATGTTTCTCCTGGGTTTGGGGCCTCCTGAGGGTTGGCTGGATGCAGATAGTGTCGGGAACAGGGCCAGTGGGATGTGGGTTTTGTGGAGTTGAAATCACACTTGCCTCCTGGGGACCCTGAGTTTGGGACAGTGATGGGGTGAGACCGTGTCTCCTCAGAGCACCGCCGGGACGTGCTCCATGAGAAGCCAGACGTGGCCCTGGTCCAGCTTCTTGGCTTCGCTGTGGGGGCTCCCTCCCAGCCCTGCAGGGCGCTCCGTTAGAGCCCCTGAAGCAATGGGAGCAGCCTGCAAGCCTCGCCCCGGGGTCGGCAGGCAGGCAGGGGAAACGGGACCAGACGTGCTGCGAAGACACCTCTTCTGGTTGTGACTGTCACTAAGTGTGGTGTGCTGGTGGGCTTCGCTCGTCCCTTCTGTAGAATAGAAGGTTCTTATCATGCGAGTTGATCAAAATTATCCGGGGAGTGTTTTCACAATGTTCACACCTGGGTACCATCCAGGCTTTGATTCAGTCGGCTGGTGTGGGAATGAGGCTCTGGCATCAGTACTGTGGGAAAAAGTCCCCAGGACGTCTTGATGCACATCTGGGTTGAGAGCCACAGAGTTTAGATGTATTTTGAGGTCCTTTCCAGCCATTATAGTCCATTTATAATTAAAAAATATCCCTGGGGAATTCCTCGGTGACAATTTCTCTACAGAAGACAATCCAGGAAATACTTCCAAAGGAAAAAGAAGTGTGTCCAAGGATTCCCTCTCCTTTTTGCACTCGGTATTTTAAGGAAAGGAGTGGCCATTTGACCATGCGAGGGGTCTCTGGAAGGGGCCCTGGGGCAGGTGATATTCTCATTTACCTGTGAGCGATCTCTCTCTTGCTCTGTCTCTGTCTGTCTCTGTCTCTCTGTCACACACACGCACACGTACACGTACACGCACATGCACAGCTTTATTTCACAAGTGGTGACCTAGCTTTGCCGGGATCACGACTTCATCATGGTAACTACCACTGCCGTGACGTTCACCGTCCGCGTCATTAACAGAACTTCGTGCTTGTAATTGTCTGCACAACCTCTCTTATCTGCTGCTCTCTCATCGCCGTCTCCACCGTCATTGTCATTTTATTGAACAAGATTTTGATGACACTAAACATCGTTGGCTATGTCGACACCTTCTTCACTACCAGTAGAGCTACTGTCCCCGTCAAAATCACTCATCCAGTGCCATCATGTGTGGTGCCACATGAGTCCCTGACTCAGGAAGGATAAAGTGTGTGGGTTCTCTTCTCCTAGAGTTATTAAGATGGGTGATCCAGCCACGGCAAGTGGACAAGTGACTATTGAACAATGAACAAACACGGGCATGAATATTAGCTCCAAACATTTTGCCAGTAGAAGTTTCACGTGTGGGGGTCGCCTGCCTGAGCGTCTTGGTTTCATGAGGACCACGCCGTGACCGTCTCCCCTTCCGCTGCACGGCTGCTGTGACCTGTGTCTCCTGTTTAGACCGCTCACTCCTGACACCGCGGTCCTCGAGCACAGGCACCACCTTTGCTCTGGACTCCACTCCTCCTCCAGGGGATGCCCTCCTGATCTAGCTGCATGTGACCCAGGCCAGCCTCGGGGGGACGTCTGCGTCCCTCTGGCGGTGTCCTCACCTATAATCGAGAGTTCCTTCTCTTTCTCTTGTCTTCCTTCTAAGACGATTTGTTTCTTCTGCTTTCCCTGGCTTATCTGTGTATCTGACATTCTCTTACTCTCTTCTGTTTGCATCTTGCCTCCTGTGTTTTCATCTCTGCTGGCTGACCCTTGGGAAGAAGGTGAGCAGAATTCTGATGCCCATTCCATTGCGTCTCTCCCCCAGGACGACCCTTTTAGCGGGAAACCTAGAGACATAGAAGACGTGCGCATCCTTCTGCTCCCCCCTCCCTGTCTCTTCCTCTTCTTTGCTCTCCCGTCCTTCCTCTCCCTTCCGCCTCTCTCCTGATGCCGTCTCCTCGCCTCCCTCTCTGTTCCTTAAACATCTGACTCCACCCCATCTCTCTCTCCCACCGCCTCCTCCTCCATCCCAGACTCAGCTCCCAAGCAGTGCCGGCCTCTGGTCCCTCTGGTCCCGCTTGTTCCTCCCACGCTCATGGCTTTGTGAGCGTAGCTCTCCTTGAAAGATGCATCTGCCCCTAGAGCTTGTGTGCCCCCTACATCAAACCTGCTGGGACTTACCATCCATAGCTTAGAAACACCTGCGCTTGAATTTGTAGGCAAAAGGACTAGGACAAGGTCACATGATGATGCAGCCACCTCTGAGTTGCCTTCCTTCTTTCTCTTTTTTAAAATAATTTAAATATATTTGGCATGTAACATTGTGTAAATTTAAGGTGTACACGTTAATTGGCTACATTTATGTACTTGTGAAGTGATTGCCTCGGTGGTGATAATTAGCATCTGTCATGTTACGTAATTACCGTTTCTTTGAGGGGAAGTTCTAGTCGCAGCAGGTTGGATGGCTGTGGTGCAGTGTGTATTCCCTGCACTGAGGGTTTGCTTTCTAGGGCTTATTGACCACCTGCTGCAGGTGTGTTGCCTTGAACAGCATCCGTCCCAGCCCGGCACTCCCAGCCCCAGGTAACCAGCATTTTCTCTTTATTTCCACAAGTTTGGCTTTTTAGAGTCCACGTGTAAGTGATACCTGCGGTACTTGTCTTTCTCTGACTTACCTCATTAGCATGATGTGCTCAAGGTCCATCCGTGTTGTGGCCAATGGCAGGGTTTCCTTTCTCATGGCTGAGTAATACTCCATCATGTGTATAAATAGAGCTCATCTTCGTCTGTTCGTCCACTGATGGACGCTTAGGTCGCTTCCTCCCCTCCTCCCTTTTCATTTTGGAAGCGTGGGGTGGTAGACATGGTATCTATCAGACGAGCCCTCTGAAGGGCAGACTTCCAGCCTTGGTCCTGCACTTCTTCGCTGTGTGATGTGGGGATGTCACGTCCCCTTTCAGAGCCTCGGTTTTGTCATCTACGTTGGGGACACGGTAACACCTGCACTATTCTTCTTAGGAGGTGGTGGTTTAAGAATCTGGTTCTTCACCAGGGCTGTGGGAACACAGGGGTTTGCTGTTGTTTCTGGGTTCTCAAGTATTTTTATGCATAGTCTCAATTCCTAGGTCCCCAGTCGGCATCCCTCCTGCCTGGATAGGCTGCCGGCACTGACGGAGCCCCCACAGGAAGAGAGTGTGTGCAGAGACCCTGGAGGAGCAGGAACAATCCACGCCCTCAGTTTACAGCCAAAGGGGCAACAGGAAGAAGGCAGACACCCAGACAGCCAAGCACGAGTTAAACACTGAGTCCAACAGCAACCCGTTCGCACAGCACGGGTTCTGCCTGTGAATTTGGTGGTCCAGGGAGTCTGGGGAGAGCAAAGCCAGGTGGTGGCCCGACAAGGCTTCAGCAGTAACAGGAAGAACTTTTCCCCAGAGTGTCTAGGCCCCGGTCTCCACCCAGGTGGACCGTCCCAGCATCCTTCTGTGGGTTCGGCCACGTGGCCCCAGATCTTTTTTGCATTCACAGAATGGAGTGGCTCATAGTTGACCTCGCAGAGGGTGTCATAACCACGAGAGGGGGATGTAACTTGGTATGCACTTGCTTGTAAAAATTAATCTGAGCACCTGATTATAGGGGTGGCGATGGGGGTTAAACCCAGTTCCTGAGATGGGAAAGGAGCATGGGGGTGAGGACGAGACAGGGCAACCTGTGGGGGCTAGAACCAGGTCCAGTGGCATTTTTGCCTCTTTTTAATGGTCTTGTGAAGTGACTGGGAGGAGAATAAACTACGTTTGCAGAGAGCCAGGTCCTGGCGGCAGGGGGAGCGTGGAGGAAGACCGGGGCATGGTGTGGGATCAGTTAGCATCCTCTAGGCCGGTGAAGGCCAGTGGAGGTTTGGATCATAACTCAGCAGGGTCCGGAGAGACCGGGAAGATGGGGAGGAAAACACAAAATCGAGATCTCCAACCTGGACAAATCCATAGTAATGCGTCCAGGGACACGGAGTCCTGAGCACAGATATTAACTGGGAGGGGAAATCTTGGAAGGAAGCATTTGTTTTCCAAAAACAACAACAGAAGAGCCAGTGTTTTGGGAGGGACACTTCAGCATCCATGCACAGGAAGAGGGCGGGAAGGCCTGGCCTTTGGCCCCGAGCAGCCTGAGAAGGTTTGAAGTAGGTGCTTTCGCACCTCTGCTCATGACCAAGGTGACCCTTGTAGATGGTGGTCAACGTCTATGTTTATTTCTCATTCACTTTTTTACGTATGTGAACGAACACCCCCCTCCTGCCATGCTCCCCGCCGACACTCACTTATTCTCCATGTGCTGCCTCCAGGAGACACAGGTGGGAATGGTCCAGGGGGAGGTAACGGAGTCCCTTCTTGTCCCTTTAATGAAGTCTTGTTAATCCAGGCAGAGTCCACGAAATTCAGCAGAAAGTGACGTGCCTGAGGTGGGGTGAAAGTACCTTCTGTCCAATCTGCCAAAGCTTTCGTCAGGATCCACATTTGCTGTTCCCAGGAGCCTGTAAGGACTTGAGCTTACGAGTCCTTCGCATGCAAGCAGATGCGGTCCACCTCCACCAGTGCCTTTTCGGGAGAGCAGGCTCCGAGCGCCCCATCTCCGCCGGGAGTAAGGAATGTCGTGGAGGGCTGCTATAAGGAGCCGTGACTGTGTGTTTAGATGCCTAGCGTAGAGGCACGACCCGTATGATTACTGCTGTCGGTATTGTCCTTTGTGGGCAGTGTGTCGAGGGCGCACAGCTGGCACCAGACCAGGGCGGCTCCTCCTTCGGGTTCCCTTCACAGCTCGCATCTGCAGCCGTGGGCCCCATTCCTGAAGTCTGCCAAGGCGGCCAGCAGCCCAGACATGGGATTGCTGGAGAGGCAGAAACAGATGGCTTCTGGACTATGTGCTGGGGGATTTCTGTTTCCTCGAGCGTCGGTCCTTGGGGTGTC